AATTAAGCCCTTGTTAAGGACCCAACCATTGATCCCAAAAGCCCAGGCTTAATGGGGATTGGAATCCCGCCCTTTTAGACCCTAACACAATAATCTTCTCTTCGATCAATTTTGTATGTGAACTCATCTTTAGTAATTAAGCCCTTGTTTGGGCTCCATTTTAATGGAAATTTAGGAGAAAACGAGTTTTGGAATGGTGATTTTTTTGGAAAATGTGCGGTTAAAAAATAAGGAAAAGTTTTTGGTTTACGTGTAATATCATTTGATGAAAGAATGTGTGGTTGAAAATAAGTTTTGAAAAAATGGGGGCCAAACTTAGGCTAAAGCTATGGCTGGTCGTGATGATTCAGCATTGGCAATGCTAACTTTGAATCCTTGCATTTTTCATGTCACTTTTGTACCTGGACTCCTCTTTCTTGCCTAAGGCTATTGGTTGTGATGACCTCGCAGTTGGTAGCTTATATCTTTTAAGGATCTCCCCGTCAAATATAATTACAAATTAGTTTGTACTAATGAATAATGTCATGATTGATCTTAATCCTCAATAGATGTTATCGTTTACAGTTTTGGCTGAAATATCTTAAATGAGGATCCGTGGGATTGGTTCGGTCAATATAGCTTGTGTGTGTATTGAACTGGTTTTCTCTTGGTTATAGCCAACACAGTGCCCATTTTTTTGTAGTACTGTTCATTATGATCTCTAAGGGTTTTTCTGCATATGTATTTTAGGGTGTTTTCCCCTCTTGAAAATGCTTAGTCCTATCTGCACAATACACTTAAAACAATTTTTTGCTGCATTGCGTTGCCTATTTAGGTAGCAATTACCTCCATGTAGTGCATCAATTAGCATGCTCAATGTGAAAGCCTAATTCTGCCTGCCTCTATACATTTGTGATTAAATCTGGCAGGTTGTGGTCATACTTGTACAGAGCCTCTCACTTCAGAACATCGGTTCACCCTGTGGCTGTGTGCTTCCAATGAAAGTCAGACTTCTTCTAGATGTAGGACTTTTTGCTATCTTTCCAGAGGTCAATGAACTAGAAATTGAAATTGCAGAAGGCACCTATCTAGTACAAAGTCAAGTGGTCATAATTGGCGCGACTGCTGATAGTCAAAATCAGGGAAGATCAGTGGTTGATATTAACCTGGTGCCGCTGGGGGTAAAATTTGATAACACTACTGCTATCCTGACTTATGAGAGACTTAGGAAAAAGAAGGTGCTTCTGAATAGGACCCTTTTTGGTGATTATGAAGTAGTGTGCATTACATATCCAGGTACAATCTGAACTACGATTAGTACAATGTACACTTTACATGGTTTTGGTTTTATAGAGCCTGTTAATTTGATTATCAGGGCTTCCTTCATCATCTGATACTTTTGGTGATGGTCCAAGTGGAAGTGCTGGAGATCAGCGAGACCCTATCAACGCAGATTTTGCTGACAAGAATCAGAAAATGAACCCTCAAATGATTTTTGTCATTGCTCTGTCGGCATTTGTACTCTTGGTAGTTTGCTGTGCGGCAGTCGTGATACTCATTAAGTGCAGGAAGTCTAACAGACCATCCAACACTGTTGATCCAGTATTTACACAATCAACAAACAAGAGATCTGGTAAATCTGCAAGTTACTCTTAGCTTTTAATTGTTTAGTGATAAACGAATGTGGGGACAGTTTTGAGCATGGACATGCAGAGGCTGAAATGACCATTATAAGAAATATTCTTTTTCTCTATAGATAATGTTGAAGACAATATTTAAAATATGTAAACATGGCCTCTCAAACAACTTACACTTCAGATTAAGTGGTTCAACAAGGTATCAAGTCTTGAGTTCAAGTTTTTCCGCCGTTGAAATTGTGCACGGATCAGGCTTTAATGGTAAAAATATGAACCTCACCTGAGGGGGCATATTGTTCAAGCCCCATTTTTTTGAAAATTCATTTTCACTCACACATTCTCCAATATAATAATACTACAACTAAATCGAAAACTTTTTACTAATTTTTAACCACACATTCTCCAAAAATCACTATTCAAAAATGCATTTTTCTCTCTAAAAATGGGGCTCAAACAAGGGCTTAAGCTTTTAGGATAAAATGTTACGGATGGCTAGTATGAATATATCCCTTGGGGGATAAAGAAGGCTGGGAAATGTTTAATTTATTTATTTGGCATTGTTATTACTGGTTTTTTTTTTCCCTGGGAGCTGGGGGTGGTTGGAAGATATATGCTTGCACTTTTAGTTTCTTCCAGTGATTACTGATTACTATTATTATTTTGATGACCAACATATATTTTAAGTCGAGGACCAACCTTCCTTTGTTTTGATATTCAAGTAGCTTGTGAAATATGGTTGGTGCCAGCAACAAGGCGAATGTTGCTTCACACACAAGTTCTATTGGGCTATTGAATAGATTTGGAAAGAACCAGTCAATTTATATGCTTTGTGGTTGTGTCTGTTGACGTTCTGAACTTGTCATTTGATTCCTCGTCTGACATAGGTGCTAATCTATGTGTTGAACATCCACGGGTTTTTGTTGAAATTTGTCAATTGCCTCAACCGTTGAGATTTTAAACTCACTTGATATCTTCACCCTCGTTTAACATTGCAAGGGATTGGATCTATGTTCTCAAGTAACCCAACCTGCTCAACATCGGCATCTCTCGTTGCAACCATGCCTGCTTCAATTCTATCTGTTAAAACATTTACACTAGGGGAGCTCGAGAAGGCCACAGATAAGTTTAGTTCAAAAAGAGTTTTGGGTGAAGGGGGGTTTGGACGTGTTTACCATGGGATCATGGGAGATGGAACTGAAGCAGCTATTAAGGTACTTACCAGGGACTATCAAAATGGAGATCAAGAGTTCATTGCTGAAGTTGAGATGCTAATTCGATTACATCACCGTAACCTTGTAAAGTTAATTGGTATATGCATTGAACAACACACACGCTGCTTGGTCTATGAGCTAGTTCCAAATGGCAGTGTGGAGTCCCACTTGCACGGTACGCTTCTCATTTTCTTCGAATTTATAAGTTCCAACTTATAGATATTGGTATGATGTCTGTGAATATATTCCTTCATTTAGAGTTCAAAAGGGCTAAAGGCACGGCAATATTCACGTGTAATCCTCATTCTAAATGTCTCAAAAGTAACATTGCAGAAACACACTCTCCTGCAGGCAAGGATGTGCATGCTGATTTTTATCTGAACTTCTGGGAATTAATCGAGTTGCTTATGTATCAGGTGAAGACAAGAAGAAAGTGCCTCTTGACTGGGATGCACGGTTGAAGATTGCTCTTGGTGCAGCAAGAGGATTGGCTTATCTTCATGAAGATTCTAATCCTTGTGTAATTCATCGAGATTTCAAAGCCAGTAATGTTCTGTTAGAACTTGACTTTACTCCCAAGGTTTCAGATTTTGGTTTGGCTAGGGAAGCAACAGAAGGAAATCATCATATATCAACTAGGGTCATGGGAACTTTCGGGTATGTTTCTTTCCTCCCCGCAAATTGTATGAAAACTGGTATTCGCATATTACTGCTATAATTTTACTATAGAAGCTCAGAGGAAGATGCATATTCTGAATCATGTTAAGACTGTTTGGTTTAGAAATAGTCAGTCCTTTTTGGAACAATGCTCGGTTATCAATTTGAAAAATATATTTTGATTCTCAATTCTTTGTGTAATTAACAATTTATTACACAGGCACTATACCTAGAATTCGCATCTTGAGCAATTTTTTTATTTATTTTTTTGCTTACCTGTTAAAGTTGTGTCCCGTTGAATCAAAATCAATTTGATAAGACATTGTATTTTAGTTAGAATGTTCAGTTCACAAAACATGTGACCAAATGTATAATGTAATTCGATCAGCTAAAATAATGCAAACCAGACAGATTTGTTGTATGGCCACATGATTAACTAATCTTTCCCTTTCGTTAATACATTTTTCATAGTTTGTTCTTCCCTACTGTTCAGTTCCATCATGATTAACTAATCTTTCCCTTACATTAATACATTTTTCATTGTTTATTCTTCCCTTCTGTTCAGTTCCTGAAAATTGAGCTTATGAATTCTGAATCCAGAACACCTTTATCTTCTGCTGTGATTGCTACTTTAGCCACAAATATTTAGGATAAGAGCAGTTAGTGACAGCCATCTAAATTGTGGATTGCAGGTATGTTGCACCTGAATACGCAATGACAGGACATCTACTTGTCAAAAGTGATGTTTACAGTTATGGAGTTGTTCTGTTAGAGCTTCTATCTGGAAGAAAACCCGTGGACATGTCTCGACCTCCTGGACAAGAAAACCTTGTGACTTGGGCACAATCTCTGCTGACTAGTCGAGAAGGCTTGGAGCAGTTAGTGGATCCGTCCTTGGCTGGGACTTATGATTTTGATGACATGGCAAAGGTGGCAGCCATTACTTCTATGTGTGTTCACCCAGAGGTGACAAATAGGCCTTTCATGGGAGAAGTAGTCCAGGCACTAAAACTCATCTATAACGACCCAGACAAGACTTTCGGGGACACTTGTAGTGAGAAGGAGTCTTCTGCTCGGGAATCTGACTTCAAATATGATTTCCCCCATTCTGACAGTAGTTGGTGGAATGCTGGCGGGATTACCCCACGGTTGACATATGGGACAATGGAGTACAGTTCAGGCCCTCTTGAAGAATTCGAAAACAGACCATTTTCGGCTTCAGAGTTGGTTGAGGGTGGTGTTGCCTTGCCTATTAGGCATGGTAATAGATCAGGTCCTTTGAGGACAGTGCGGAGTAAACAAGCTCTTTATAGATTACAGGGGAGTATGAGCGAACATAGTGGCCTCTCGAGACGTGCTTGGATTAATGGCACTGAATATGAAGCTTCCTTTTAGTGTATGAAAAATGTACAGTTCCGAGGACAAAGTTCGTTCGAAGTGTAGCTTTAGGCAGCTGAAATTGGCGCAGTTTCCTCACCGAAGAAAGGGGACGGCGAGGTGGTCTATCTTCTATAGCTTCTAAGTTTGTTCATCTTAAAATTGGTTAACATAGAGACAGGAAGTATGTTGGAAAAGTTTTTTGCAGGTTGAAAAATTGATTGAAGTAGCAAATCTTCATTTTGATTCTGCTATTTTTGGCTCAGGAGTCATCATAGTAATACTATCTTCTTGAAAAATAATGATTTCTCGATCAATAGGAGCCCAAATTAGTTTATAATATAATGCTCAATTTTCCGTCTGGGCCCTTTTTTAATCTTCCGTTGCAATACCTATAAAGTATCGAATTCAAAAGTAAGGTGTTATAGTTACATTTTCCCTCGCGAGAATACACTTTGGAAAAATTAGCTCAAGCCCTACCTATAAAGTATCTAATTCAAAAGTAAGGTGTTATAGTTTTAATTTCACGAATAAGATGATAATGAAATTTAATCAATACGGGATAATTAAGGAAAATCGTTTTAATCTTTAACTAATATCTAATCAAATCTTTACAAAAAAAATTTAATAACCGTCCCCATTCATTCTCTCTCTCTCCAATCACCTTTATCACCCACGTTCATTCTCTCTCAACAATACAAACACATTTGTTCCAATCATGCTTGACGTACACCAAAAAAAAAAAAAAAAGTGGTTTCCGTCTACACTTTTTATGAAAATAAAGGCAATTTCAAAAAAGATGTGAAGGAAAGAATATATAAATGGCAAAATCCCATTTATTCTCTCTCTCTATAGAACACACACCTCTATCAGACTCCATTCCCATTTGCCATGACGGAAGGAAGGCAGATTTCTTATTTAAGGTGTGATTGAGCTACGTTATTTTGGAAGAATGTATTTTAGAATAATAGATTGATGGAGAATGTGTGGTTGAAAAAGAAAAAAAAAATTATTGATGTGATGAAAAATATTATTTTATTGAAAAATACGTGATTCAAAATGAGTAGAAGAATGAAAATGAAATTTTAATATNAAAAATGTGTTGTTGAAAATGAGTAGAAAAACGAGAACGAAAAATTTAATGTGTACCAAACATGGACTTAAGTTAAGCTTCCTTTTTTCCCAAGTTCGGACTATTTGAAATGAAATGAATTAATCCCCGTGTACATGGATTATTTTCACGGGGCTCATCAAACTACTCACATTGGTGGGCCCCACCACGTATTTAAAAAAAAATTATGCACGGGACCCACATGTGTGAGTGACTTGTGAAAATAATCCTTGTACGTGAAACATGGTAAATTCCATAACACTAGAGTTCTCTATTTTCCATTGCATTCCTTCAACATCCATCGGCATCTCGCAAAAACACCACTACTAGAGGGAAATATTCGAGAAATCAATCGAAACAAAAGGACCAAGGTACTTTTAGGCATACAAGTACTTTTAATTGTTCTATTTGTTGCATATAATGTCTAGAGATTTTTTTCGAAATTCGATGATTCGCTACTTTTTAAAATGCTAATGTGGTTCGATATATGATTTAAAGGTTTAATCGTGCCTTCGTTGATTTTCAAAATTTATAGATTGGTTTTCTTGGTCTTTGGGGGAGAGAAAGTAGATGAAATTGATTATCAGATAGCTGAAATTGAGAGACTATTGAAAGAGGTGTGGATTCTCAAACTTTTAATATCTAGATATATAAAGCTTCATAAAGGTCTATATATTTTAAAGTTCTTTCCCATTTTTACTGCTTATTGTCTATCTAAATTCTTTTTTCTTACCAAGCATGTAGTGTGTGGATATGTTGGGTATGCTTTTTCAATTAATGTTATGTGACCTACGTATGTTCTATTTTGTGACCTGGTTCTTGTTTATATTTGTAACCCGTGTGCAATCCTATCGCAATTAATGTTTATGCGTAAATGCCCTGCTTTGTGAAATGTAGAGTATAGATATGTCTGCATCATGTAAATGGAATTTTGTGTACTGATTTTGGTAATATGTGACCTCTTCTTTTGAAATGTGACTTGATCATATATAATGTGACCTCATCTTGATAAATTTGACTTGATTTATTATATTATTACCTCATATTTACCAAAATACAAGTATTGAATATACCACAGTTTATAAATTAGTTTGTGGAAAAGGTCACAGTCAAGCAATTTTTAGGTTATATTCACATGTTTATATGTGCGATCAAGGTCATATTCATATGTCTAACACTCTAATTTGTGCAGGATTAAAAATATTCAATCAAATAAAGCAAATAGTTTCCTAGAAAAATTACAACAAGCTCCATATCACAATCAATGGTAAATCTTATTTGAATAATCTTTCAATTCAATGTATCCAAAAAATACATAGTTTGTGAATAAAACGAAAGAAGAATGACTTTGTAATCGCTTCACAGTGAAATATAGAGATCTCCAATCATCGAATTTTTTCGACTCTCATCTTCTAGAAACTCTCACCGGATTGAAATCGAATTTGAAGAAAATATTTATATTATTTGCGCCTGAAAAGGGAAATCTACATCGAGTTCAATGCTTGAAAAAATATTTCCCTCGAATATACCCGAATTGTAATAAAAAAGATTATTAAGTTAATGAAGGAACACGTTGACTATGAAATTGTAAAATTGATTACGATGCAACAAATTTGATGAAATCGTGGTCAAACTATTTGAGATTTCGTTTGTTGGGAGGTGAGAACAGATGAGAAATTGAGATTTTAGTTGGAAGGCGAGATAAGATTGGTACATGTGAGAAAAATGTGGAAAAAAATAAATTGATTGCTTAATTATAGGAATAATAACGTAAGAGAATATAATATATCCTCTAATAATAGTTAATTTAAATAATATCTTCTAATATATATATATATATTTTGCAAGCAACGTGCAATGCACGTTTGCCTAGTTTATATTTAATAGTTTTGTTTAAGAATTAATTTGTTATTAATAAAAATGTAATTTTTTTGGTTAATTAAATAATTAATGGTGTAATGTTTATGTAATTGATAAATAATTAGATGTGTGATTTTGATGTTGTGATGTAAGTTGGTGAGATCGAAGAAAATAAGCAAAAGTTGACAAATTTGGAGAAATGGCTAAATTGTAAGGGATCCAAAGTTCGGGGACTAAAATGTAAATACTTAAAAGTTGTGCCGAACCTCACGATGAAGATTTGAGAGTGCTCGGAGTCAATTGGATAAAGGAAGACGTCAATTGAATCAAATTTAGCCAAAAGATAATCACAAATCAATTTCCAACCGAAAAGTTATGCTCCGATATTTTAGTCTCATATTGAGACCTATTTTTGGCATAGAAAGTGATCGAATTGGAGAATGATGTCTGAATCAAAGTTGTAGCCAGACGAGTTAGCTTTCCAAAACATTTTGAATCGCCTCAATCGGATATCGGAATACAAAGTTATGATAAAAAAACTGAAAGAAGGTGCAGCTGCCTATTTAAAACAAGAAATTCCGTTACATAGTCCGTTAAAACAACAAATTCCATTAGTTTTTCCGTTGAAAACAATAAATTCCGTTACATAACCACTTTTAATATATAGAAGATATATATATTATTATATGAGCATGTAGTTCAAAATGAGTATATAGAAAAATGGTTTTGAAATAACGATTGTCAATCAAACGAGAGCTAGATGACGAAGATTACTACTCACGATGCCATGCCACTTGGAAATTGTTCGAATTTGTTAATATCGTAGAAACAGCCAAAGAAGAAGAATTCAATTTATCCCCGTTTGGTCCCCATTATTTGAGATTTTAGTTTTTGGAATAGTATTTTTTTGAAAAATGTGTGGTTAAAAAAGATTTTTTTTTGAATTTACATGTAATATTATTTTATTAAATAATGTGAAGATGATAAAAAGAGAGAAAAATGAACTATAATTTTAATGAGGACATAATTGACAACTAGTCAAGTCATGATTAGCATGTTTGGTATACATGATTATACACTATTTAACCTATGTTTGGTAAAATATAAGTCAAAGTCGACAATTAATTTTAATTATATATTTCATGGATTTCACAACTTTCAACCATACATTTCATCAACTTTTATCAAAATTTACTAAAAATATAATTTCAATCCCACCAAATAGGGGCTTAATATTGTTCAACGTATAAACTATGTTCATTTTTTCTTTTCAAATGTTTGTTCATTTTTTCTTTTCAAATGTTTTATAAGGCTCGATGAATTGCCTTTCTCCAGCCTTCTACCGAGTGCAGCACCAAGCATACGCATCCCTTCAAGTTAGTTTCTTATTCAGTCGGTTCAAACGAGCTAAAAATCCAGCAAAAAGGTTAAGAGAGTGTTTGGTGGGGATTAAAATTAGATTTTTAGTTGATTGTGATAGAAGTTTTTAAAATGTGATGTTGAAAAGATGCGAGACCCATGAAAGATGTGGTAAATATTGATTGTTTGACTTTGACTTAAATTAAAATTAGATTTTAATCTGGCCCAAACAGGCCATAACATTGACGTGACACAAATTTGACATCCACGATCCACACACTATTCGTAAATAAGTAACTACAACGTTCGAATCAAAATTTGTCCCAATATTATACTAGGTTGACTGTCTTGTAAAGGCTTAAACAATTAAACCGTTAAAGAGTCATATTCAATCCATTAATCCATAGTGCTGTGGTGCTACACTTGCATCAAAATCAAATAACAGTAATCCATGGAAGGTAAAAGTTGGTTAGGTCTAAATTCATTGAGAAATCCTCTTAGTTAAGCTATTTTAATATTTTTTTTCCTTACTTTTCACTTGAAATGTTTATTTTTCGACAATTGCAAATTTTGGAAGTTGACATAAGAAAGATAGATATTTTAATTTGATAATTATATTTAATTCTCCATTTTTTCCCTATTCAATATAATATTTTCAAAAGTAAAAAAAAAAAAAAATGATTACGCG